CACCATACACATACATAATTAATTATAAGTCTATAAAAAGACAAGTATCAACTTTTGATATGTAAAATATATATAAACAAATATTATTGAGCTGTATACTAATACTACTTCCAGTGTCACAACACGCACATCAAAACCAAATATTAAAGAATTACAATATTGATTTATTAAAACCACCGACGGCTGGCTCCAACATTTTAAACTCACGAAGATCTTAACAAAATCCAGATCCCACTCCGCATAGTTGGGTCAACACCTGCCATCTACCACACAATTTTGCAATTGCCAACTAGCTACTATGCTCACTGTCTCTCATGTTGAGTGGTAAGTACACTTGTTCTTTAACGATATATTTACATTCATTTTCTTGGGGTCCATAACCACCCCGCATTCCACTCTATTATAGAACTTGGGTTTCACTAGTCTCCCCAAAACATAAGCTCTTGAACGAACCATCAAGTTCAGTGTCAATGGCACTGCTTCAATCGGTGCACCATTTACACTGCCCAAGCTAGCTCCTCCTCCATACAATGGAATGTTATTTCCCTTCATCATCACTGTAATTGATCTCTGACTCTTTCTTGATTGATAAAACTTACATGTCTGCAATATCCCAATTACCTAAATTAACTCACATAAAACTAATTAAGTAACTATACAAATGAGGTTAGTTGCGTACTGTTCCAGTGGCCACAGTGAGTTGAGAGAATGATAGATCTAGGGGTGTTGATGTTACATGTACACCAAAAAATGTAGCAGTGTTCCGAAATGTGAGCTTCACTGTGCAATTCATTGACACCATTTCAGTTGCTACTCCGGAGAAATCTGCTCCAGCTTGAACCACGAACTGGTCAAATTCAATGCTCTGCAATCAAAATAACCAATAACCATTTCACCAAATTAATTAACAAAGTAGTAATAGTAATTAATAAAGGACTTATATATTAATGTATAAATAATGAAATCTGACCTTCATTGTGACGGTAGGTTTTTGAGGTCTACTAGCACCCCACAAGATCAAAGAAAACAAAGAAAAAAGCACAAAGAATCCCACAACAAAAGTAAGAAAATAGAAGCGACGAGAAACACCACTGTGCATGTTTTCTCCATCAAGAAGTCCCTCTTCTTCAATGGCGTCAAACTCCTTCCATGGCTTGCGGGACTTCCGTTCATTATTCTTGCGATGATGGTGGGGTTTTAGTGAGGCAGACAGGCGAGTGGAGGACGACTCACGAGAAGAATGAGGACCTAACGAAGAGTTGGAATGAGAGTGAGGTGGTGAGCCCATGGGGCTGAGCACAGGCGTCGAGTGGAAGGAGTTTGTCGTCTTTTCACCATCGTGAGAATCTCTTGACGGGCTCTGCACGTAGTAAACTGCACGGCGTGGAGATCGTGTGGGCGAGGACTGAGTCAGGCTACTTACCTCCGAGTCAGTTTTTGAGAGCTGAGCAGACATTGTTGTTTGATGTAGTTTTGTTTAATTCAACAGAGAGATGGAGAATTAGTAGTGAGTGAGGGTGAGAATTTATATTTAATATATTGTCAGTGGTTGTTGTATGTGTAAGTAAGATCTATAACAATTTAAGGTACGTCCTGTTGGCGCACGTTATATTGAGCTTTGTTAAATGTCATCGAAGTCTTGAAGGTGATAGTAATAAATGGGAGATGGTGGATTTGTACGTAGACAGAGACTGGCAATTGTCTGGTTGTGGTTTTTGTATTATTTATTCTACCAAGTGCCAATTTTCATTAATGCCTTCACTAAGCACAATGTGAGTAATTACTAATTAATTGTTTAGGTGTATAGGGGTAATGAGTCTCTGTAAGGCTTATTATATACAACAAAAACTTCCTGGTGAGATCAATATTTGCCTCCTTCTTTAACTTAATTTCTGATGAAGAGCATTATACGGGCTATTATATGAATGAGTCAATTATGTTGTCTTATCAAATCTCAACCACTAGGTTCAATTAATAGCAAATAAATCAAGACGCCGTCGGTTGGACACCTAATTAGAAGATTATGGGAAGGGCCTTCAAGTCAAGACAACAAGACAAGTCTTGCTTCCACATCTACAGGCATGGCCCAACTGGCCAGCTTCTCTTACGAGTTGAGCGCCTTAAAGAGCGCACACTTTGGTATCAATTTTACTGTCTTTATGGCTCCATCGGGTTTCAAAAAGTTAAACAGTAAAATTATAAAAACTCATAATATTATTTAATATTATTCAACTTTTTTTAAAATCGCTTAAATTTATTAATTTAATTAAATACCCTTAAATATTTTTTTTTCAAAATTATAAAAACATTCCAGAAATCCACATTTACCAGATTCTGACCACCACTGTCGAAAGATGATTAAAATCTAGTATAATGGCACACTACCGACTGAATCTCACTGGTAGTACTCTGATCTAGCCTTTTTCGATCAGATCTAAGGCCAAAGATCTAGCCGTAGCCAGTCGTCAACGACGGCCAACATATGGTTGTCATTGACCATCAACGACGACCGTATCTTTGGCCGTCATTGACGAGCAAATACTGTGAGATTTGGCCATCAATGGCCAGATCCACCGTCGATCTGACCAGAAAAGGCCATGTCGGTGCATGACCGGCAAGATCCAACCGGTCATGCGCTGATACGGCGACTCCGGCCATCTTCCGGCGGTGGTGGCTGGCTGTCTGTATTTAATGGGTGGATTGGGGGTGTTTTTGTTAACTTTTAATGTTTTATAGTAGGGTTGTTTAGTAAATAAATAAACATAAGGGGTATTTTATTAATTTCTAAATCCTACAACGTAATACCTGCCCAATTCAACTTTTTTTAACTTTTTTCAAAAAGCTTTTCTAAAAAGTGTAAAAAAGTGAACCAAACGGAGCCATAAGGCTTCGTTTGTTTCGCTTTTGGGAATACTGGCTCCGTTTGGTTCAAAATTTGGGGGTTTTGAGAAAAGTTTTTTGAAAAAAGTTAAAAAAAAGTTGAATTGGGCGGGTATTACGATGTAGGATTTATAAATTAATAAAATACCCTATATATTTATTTTTTTACAAAATACTCCCTATAATAAAACATTAAAAGTTAACAAAAATACCCCTAACCCACCCTCAAACACCTCCAGTCGACCACCACCACCGGAGGTGGCCGGAGTCACCTTATGGGCGCATGACCAACTGGATCTTGCCGGTCATGCGCCGATATGACCTTTTCAGGCCAAATCCACGGTGGATCTGGTCGGCAAAGGCCAGATGACTGCCAGATCTGGCCGTATTTGCTCTCAACGACGGCCAACAAACGGTCGTCGTTGACCATCAACGACGACCGTTTGTTGGCCGTCGTGACCGACTGTTACGGCCTTAGATCTGGCCGTCAACGACCAGATCTTTGGCCTTAGATCTGGCCTTTTCCGGCCAGATCCACTGTGGATCTGGCCAGAAAAGGCTAGATCGGCGCACTACCGGCCAGATTCAGCCGGTAGTGCGCCATCCTACCAGATTCCGGCGGTGGTGGCCGGAATCTGGTAAATGTGGATTGTTGGGGTGTTTTTGTAATTTTAAAAAAAATATTTAGGGGTATTTAATTAAATTAACAAATTTAGAGGGTTTAAAAAAATTTGAATAATATTAAAAATAATATTCCCAAAAATGAGAGTTATTGGGTATTTTACTGTTTAACTTTTTTGAGAATACTAAGAGTAGTATTCCCAATCTTGAACCAAACGAAGCCACTATTATTAGTATTCCCAAAAAAGTTAAACAGTAAAATATCATTATTCTCAAAATATTATTCTATATTTTTTAATTTCTTTTAAACCTCCTAAATTTGTTAATTTAACTAAACACCCCCAAATTTTTTTTTTTAGAAATTGCAAAAACACTCCGGCCACCTTCCGGCTGTGGTGGCCGACTGTCCGTATTTAATGGGTGGGTTAGGGGTGTTTTTATTAACTTTTAATATTTTATTATAGGGATGCTTAGTAAATAAACAAATATAAGGGATATTTTTGTTAATTTCCAAATGCTACATCGTAATACCCGCCCAATTTAACTTTTTTCAAAAGATTATTCTAAAAACTATCAGAATAATGAATCAAACAGAGCCTATATTACCGATTGAAATTTGATACCCAACTTAAAATTATAAGTTTGTATTATGGATTATGCGTATATTCTTACAATTTTTTATTTTGTAACCGAGATATCTGGACTAGTTTATGCATACCTCAACTAATCCTTAGGATTTATTGAATACCGTATAAGTTTAAAGGATCAGGTAATGATAAGTAACCCTAAAATTTGAATCCGAGAATTTAAGGAAGAGAACTAACTTTCTTGACCGTCCGGCCACTTACTGGTATTGGCATATTGTAATTTGTAGCAAAATCTGATCTCCTGGGAAAATGCTAGCACTTAGTAAGTAGTACATGATTGAGATTTGAGAGAGAAGCCCATACTCCCCTGATTGGATCTTTTACTAGATCCTGTCACATGTCAATACATCATATAATTATAAAAGAAAAAGGAAATTAATTTTATGATCTCATTACATGTCTACATCCCTACTAGGTCAAAGATCCACCATAATTTTTGCATGGCTGGATGACTTTAATTTTACGAGAGTGGACCATGGCGCATGGGCTGTGCGGGTCTTAGGCCATAATAAGAGCTTACAATTTTACCAGCTCAGTTGTGGTCCTCTCGTCTAGTCACTTTCACATCTCACCAAATTTTAACGATGAGAGCTACAATATCTGGAGCTTGTAAAACCAAGTCCTTTTATTTTTTATCGAATATCTTATCATGCAGGTGGGTTTCGGATTTTGCTGTCAACCAAATATCAATGTTAGAATATATGCTGAAACTCATGAGGAATCTAACATATGTTCTGTTTTTAGTTTCAAGGTCAGGCAAATTCTGAAGCAACTTAACATAATGGAGAGGAGCACCATTTTATTAATATACTTTTATTCGTGCTTTTCTTTATTTTTCACAAAACTTGTGTCTTATGGTTTAACTCTGGTTACTACAACTGGACTTCTCACCACATGCCTGCCTTCAGCATCTACCCAACTAAGAGAACCATGAACTATTAATTCTTTCATTAATTTTGGCCCCTCTATACTGAGTTTGTAGCTTCTCTTCTCATACTTGTGTTTAAAAATCAACCTGTTTGGCACAACATTCACCTTGAAACCTGTCATTGGTGCCACCTTAGCTGTATAATGTGCCTTTCCATCTCCCACATTAGTCACTGTTCTCTGAAAATTATGCACAAGTTTTTTCCCCGAAGATGCATCGGTTGCATTGAAGAAGGCAATAAAAGAAGGGTAATTCAAATCCAAGCTTGATGGATTTGAACATTTATAAGAAGATGATTTTGTAATCATCTGAATTTGCTCTGCAGTGTAGTTCATCCCACATAGGAGCTTTACATAATCTTCTGCAGTTGCATCATAAATGAGTCCAGGGTCTAATGCTTTGTTGGGATTTATATGACCAGCACCCATGGCCAAAGGACTTACTGGTTTGTCATGATATCCAAGATCTTTAATAGCGCTAAGTGTGTTGTCAAATGGATCAGCTGTGGTGATCATTGCAGATCGAATGGCTGCAGGACTCCATTTGGGGTGTGCACCCTTTAAAATGGCTGCAACTCCAGCTGCGTGAGGACAAGCCATGGATGTTCCGGTTATGATATTGAATTCACCGAAAAAATCATTTGCTCCAAAATCAGTTACAGGACTTGTTTGAGTCCATGATGCTAAAACCAAAGAGCCAGGAGCCATAATGTCAGGCTTTAAGATGCTAGGACAACTTGAAGATGGTCCTCTAGAACTGTAAGCAGCGACCTTGGGTGCTGGTTTTCCACCCACTTGAGTCAATATAAATTGCATACTAGCTGTTGGGTTAGAGGTTTTTTTTATGTAACCAAGGACTGCTTGACCCTCTTGGAGGAGAAGAAATAATGCTGGAAAGGAGGTTTCAACGAAAAATTCCAAGTAGGAACTGTTAGATATGAAGACTCCTCCTGCCACTCTTGACGCAGCAGCATTCTTAACTTGAATGCCTACAAATTCTTTCTTATCTTCACAAACAATGACTTTGTCCCCAACTTGTTTTAGCTTGTCTAAATTATCGCATGCATCCATGAAAACAAGTGGTAGGCGGCTTTGAGATGAATTTACAATGTAAAGAGAAGATCCCAATAGTGAAACTCCATTTCCAAGAGTAATAATCCCATTAAAATTACGATCTATTGTACCAGCAGCAACATTTAATATCCATGGAATGCCATTGTGCACAGTACCAAACCAAGGCCCTTCATTTCCAGCTGATGATCCCACAAATATACCTTTCTCCGTGGCAGCAAATGAGGCCATGGCAACAGGATCCTCATACAATGGAACTCCATCTAAGCCAAATGATAACGAAATGACATCAACACCATCAACGATTGCTTGGTCAATTGCTGCAATAACATCTGATGCATAGGCACCAGCATCCCATAACACCTTGTACATTGCTAAATGAGACCGCGGCGCCATTCCCCGTGCAGTTCCCTTGGCATAACCAAAGAAAGATGCACCCTTAACATAATTTCCCGCTGCAGTTGACGACGTATGAGTTCCATGTCCATCAGTATCCCGAGTTGAATTCATTAAGACAGTGACATTGGGTTTATTACTAAGCAAACCCTTGTTGAAAAATCGAGCTCCGATAAGCTTCTTGTTGCACATTGAATAATTAAAGCCGGTACCCTCCACACATCTTCCTTTCCATCTAGCTGGAACTTCGCCCATTCCAACATCACTAAAACTTTCGCTCTCTGGCCATATTCCAGAGTCTACCAAACCAATAATTACATCTTTCCCAAAATTAGAACTTGGCCATGCCCCAGTGGTCAAGCTTAGGCCAAGAAATCGCGATGTGTGGGTTGTGTGTGCTATGACAGGCACATCTCATATGGAAGATAGATAGCCAGGGGAATTTTGAAGGATTGTGAACTCTAATGGAGAGAGACTTGCACAAAAACCATGGATTACATTAGTGTAAGTATATATATGCTTTGAAGGAATGCTCATTGTGGTGGAAGTGGTAGTATTTAATTTAATGCCGTGTGATATTGAAGAAAGTGTGGCAGAGTACCATCCAAATTGGTGCATGAAAACCTTTGGCATAGCTGACAAGTTCATATGAACAATGTATGTGTCTGGTTGTGGCAGTGAGGTGAGGGCTGAGAAGGTAATAAAGAAGCACATAAGTTCTAGTAGCAGCTTAGCCATGAATGGTAAATGTAAGTGATTGCTTATTGCTTTGCACATGAAAAGCTCTGTTTCTAACCAATACTGTTGCCTGTAGGTCTTCCATTTCTTATTGCATTCTTAACAAACAAAACCTGCTTATGTGGTTGATCTCTAATTTTATATTCCACCACCGCCAGTGTTTCAGGCTTTCAGCCCCAAAAACAACCACGTAGTACATACTTCAAATGTTGCATCTTTTGCTTTTAATAGGTGTCGAAAGCACTAGTTGCTTACTCATGAGCTATCGGTGAAATCATAATTTCTGCCCATGACATGTGGTTGGCATGCCATTTCTTGACTTTGATTCATCTGACATAACAAACTGTTAATCAGCAGTTTCTCTCTATTCTCGTCCACATAAACCACGAGCTCAACCATTCCAAGTATGTTCACAGGTTGATTCGTGGTACTGACTACTGCAGAAAATTGATATTTTAACGGACCTGATTTGAATTCATGCTCTAACTGTATAAATTAAAGGAAACCCTCATGGCCTGTTATTATCCCAGTTCAGGTAATTGCAGAATCTATCTTGCGAGATTATAGAAACCGAATAAGACATCAAATGGTAATGTAGTAATGCAATGATGTCCTTTCCACCTAAGCAACGGCATTTGGCAGGAGGACTTTTTCCTGGAAAGTGCTTGGCAGTTTTGCTTTATTGATATGATGATGTGAAGATAAAATAAACAATGGAACAAAAGATCAGGGAAAGAATGGGATAAAAAGAAATAAAATCAAGAAAGAAGAGGTGGCAGAAGAACTAAATTAAATATCATATCACCTTATAATACAATCATGACAGCCCAAATAATACATTCAAGGCGATTCTGGGACAAGGCTTGTGGCCACAATTGGGCTTCTTACCACATACTTACCATTGTCATCTACCCAATTTAAAGAACCATAAACCACGACTTTTTTCAACAATTTTGGACCCTCCAAACTAAGCTTATATTTTTTCTTCTCAAACTTTTGCTTGAATACCAATCTCTGAGGCTCCACAAAGACCTTTAAGTCATCCAATCCTGTCAGATTTGCAGTGTAACTTGCTCCTACCTCTTCAACATTAGTTACTGTCCTCCAAAATTCTTGTACAATTTTATCTTCTGGATTTGAATCATAATTGTTAAAGAAAGCAATAAAAGACGGGTAGTTCAGATCCAAAGACCGGTTAATGCAATTGTGAGAGGACTTTGTGATGATTTGAATTTGTGTTGTTGTGTAGTTCATGGCACAAAGAAGCTTTATGTAATCCTCTGCCGTTGCATCGTAGACAAGGCCAGGATTAAGAGCCTTGTTGGGAGAAATATGACCAGCTCCTATGTCCAGTGGACTTGCTGGCAAATTATCATTTGCAACATCTTCAATAGGACATAAAGTGTTGTCTAATGAATTGGCTGTGGTCACAAGGGCTGACCGAATGGCTGCAGGACTCCAATCAGGGTGCGCTGCCTTTATAAGCGCAGCTACGCCTGCCACGTGTGGCGTCGCCATGGAGGTGCCTGATAAGAGATTGAAATTGCTAAACAAGAGATGTGATCCAACCTTAGCAACTGAACTGATTGGAGACCATGATCCTAAGATTAATGAGCCAGGGGCCAAAAGGTCTGGCTTTAGGATACTTGGGCAGCTCAGAAATGGACCTCTGGAGCTATAGCTATCTACCCTTGGTGCTGGCTTTGTACCAATAACCGTGTTCTGAAATTGAAAGCTTCCTGTTGGGTTAATGTTCTTATTTATGTAGTCTATAATTGATTGGCCATCATGTAGACCAACAAATGCTGCTGGAAATGAACTTCGGGTGTAGAGCTCTGAATAAGAAGAGTTGGAGATGAAAACAGCTCCGGAAACTCCTGCAGAGATTGCATTTACAACTTGACCGCTTATACTCAAATTATCCTTGCACACAATAATGGCGTTTTTTACTTTCTTCAATTCTGTCACACTATCACATTCGTCCATGTAAATAAGGGGCATTCTACTTGAAGAATAATTCCCAGGATACAAGGAATTGAAGTTAATTTTAACACCACTCCCCAGAGTTAAAATTCCTTCAAATTCACGATCTAAAGTACCTGCACCAACGGTCACTAGCCATGGTGCCCCGTTGATTAAACTCCAGTACAAAGGACCATCATTTCCAGCAGATGCTACCACAAATATACCTTTCTCCATGGCAGCAAAAGTAGCTACCGCAATTGGATCATTTTCCAAAAGTGTATCATCTAAGCCTATGCCCAAAGACAGAGACAAAACATTAACCCCATCTTGCAATGCTTGGTCTATTGCTGCTACAACATCAGATGAATAGACCCCATATCTCCAAACAACTTTGTACATAGCCAAACGAGCTCGAGGAGCCATGCCTCTAGCGGTGCCAGTGGCATAACCAAAATAAGATGCACCTTTTACATAGCTACCAGCAGCTATGGATGAAGTATGTGTACCATGTCCACTGACATCCCGGGGAGAGTTCATTGGAATTTTCAACTTCGGATTGTTAGCAATCAGACCCTTGTTGTAAAACCGAGCCCCAATGAGTTTCTTGTTACACAAGGAAGAGTTGAACTGGGTACCAGCCATGCATTTTCCTTTCCATCTGGATGGAACTTTTGTCATTCCTTGATCATTAAAACTCTGACTCTCTGGCCAAATTCCAGTATCAACTAAACCAATTATGACATCTTCACCATAATTTGAGCCCGACCAGGCACCAGAGAATGAACTCAAGCCAAGAAATTGAGAAGTGTGCGTTGTGTGAACTGTAAGAGGATGGTCCCTAGTGGAAGAAATGTAGCCTGGAAACTTTTTAAGAGCTTCAAGCTCAGAAGCAGTAAGAACTGCGCTAAATCCATGGATAGAATTGGTATAAGCATAGATAAATTTAGAATAAAGGATAGTGGTGGTGGTTGCAGTTGCAGCTGCATTAGAAGTGTCTGATATTGAAGAAAGCATGGACAAATACCAGCTATGGTGGTCAGAGTAAGCTTTAGGCATAGCTGATATGTCCATGTGAATGATGTAAGTATCAGATCGTGCCGCAGAGGAGCTAACATAGAATATTAGAAACAGAACTACTGGTAAAACTTTGAGCATCAGAATTGCCATGGTAACCAAAAACAAAGCCCTTTAGACTCTTAATCAGCTACATATAACAATAGTTTTCCCCTTGAGATTTAATTTTAAGAAAGAGATTGTTCCTTCACTATAGTGAGCAATTATTTATGAATTATTAACCAAAAACTTTCGTTGCTAAAAGAAAGGGTGGTTAGTGGTTAGTGGAAAACACATCATCATTGTCCATTTTGCTGCTAGAGTCTGGACACAAGGACAGATCCCCACAAGCCTTATCGATTATTAAGAGAAATAAGCACTTTAAAATTTAAAATAGAAGCTCTGTTGATATGTTTTTTATGGTGAATAGTATAGGTGATGATGAATTATGTAATTCAAAAAAATTGGAAAGGAAAGATGGGAAAAAATGCAAAAGGCACTGGTTCCCTTGATTGAAGGCAGTAAAGAAAACAAAAACGTGCATGTTGAGTCCGGTTATTTGGTGAAAAGTTGTGGGTTCTGTCAAGTAACCCCAGCATTGCTTTCCATTTCCAATTGATGGAACTTGCAATAAAACAAAAGCTTGTCGATTTTGCACTGGGATTTCCACATACTGGAGTTGTGGCAGGCCCACCTGGACTTGGAAATAATTGGGCCTGTCACAGCTCGAGCGCCGTTGCATGTTTTTCCGGGTTGGATTAAAATGAAAGTAGATATAGATAGCCCAAGAAAACAAGATATTAGGTACTTCCTACAAGACTCAGTCAAAAAAAGCTGCAAATCCAAATGTCCTCGGTAAGACTTATCTTGGAAAGATGCAGTTCTTTTGAAAGACCCTTTGCGTTTTTATAAAGGCAGAACGACTTACACCTATCACAGGTTTGTCGTAATAATAAATTAATACCCAAAAGGTTTAAAAACGATAAATTGGATATTAGGTACTTCCTAAAAGACTCAGTCAAAAAAAGCTACAAATCCAAATGTCCTAAGTAAGACTTATGCGGAAAGATGCACTTCTTTTGAAAGTCCCTTTGCGTTTTTATAAAGGCTGAATGACTTACACTTACCCAAGGTTTGCCGTAATGATAAATTAGTACCCAATGGGTTTGAAAATGACAAACTGGTACTTTCCATCATGTGTTGTTACTGATATACGTTCTCACGACACGCGATGTACATGGCAACGGCAATCATGTACACGTTTGGCGTGAGTTGCATCGGCGCGATCTCGAAATAAGCCAGGACCGACCTGACAAAAGGGTGGAAAGTGATCAACCCCCCACCCTTGAATATTTCCTTGGAGATCGCGGCCAATCCACTTGACGAATACCGAGATGAGTGTGTCTTATCGGGGAAAACCTCCACGTGGATACCGTATTGTTTTATCACCCTTTCGAGCTCATCCCCGGTAAGTACCGAGTGGGACTCGTAGGAGCATCCTGCGAAGACGAACTGGCACCTTCCTCGGATCTGGTCATTAAGGGGTTCATTCTACTGCAGTCTGCAAAAGCGACAAGCAAGGGGTCATTTAGCTCTCGTATGATATTCCGTACGATGACATGGAGGAAAGCAAACACTTCCCTTCCTAAATCCCAGAAAAAACCCTAACATAATGCTTTGAGCCGCCATTCATGGCTCGAACCCAACATGAACGTTTCGTCTCCGATCAACTACCAGAAGACTAACGTCATTTATCAACTACTGGGAGTAAGAAATAAAAACAGAATGAACGATTCTCACCTCTCGGAATATGAAAATGACTTCTTCTGTTTCAAATATCAAGAACGCACTGGTTTGGAAGGCAAAGAATCCAAGTTTGCGAAAGTCTCTTGCTCTCTCTGAAAAAGACGGGTGTGGTGACATTGCCTGAGATGAACTTGAGTTTTTATAGCGAAAGAAATGACGCTTGGTTTTCCCAAAATCAAAACGACGTTTGGGCGGAAAGATATGTCTCACCGTCGATCACGACCACATGTCGCGGATCAGTGAGAAAGGGTGACCGTCACGATTCGAGAAAACCAAACCATCATCCTTTTCCGTTTAAAAACTCAAGCGACGGCACTCTCTCCCTCCGCATTAAATGCGCCCCAATCTGCATTTAATGTTCTGATAAGGAGTGTCGTTTCAGCATGTCACGCATTTAATGCGCCTGGATGACACTTATTATGCACAGGACACGTCTGTCAGAGCAGAAGTTGTTTCATTAAATGCATCCATATTGAAAGTACGACAGGTAACGTCTGAAGAGGTCAGGTCGCTCATCCTTAAAAAGCGATGACCATGCGAGGTCGCACTCACAAAAGCGCAACCTCGACCTCTTTTCAAACAGGTCAGAATCACCAGAATTTCCTCGAAGGCATCTAGTCACAGCATGAATTATAGTTTCCAAGGATCGATCCTCAAACCTTAAAAACTAAGGGACTTCTGTTATGCCTGAAGAAAGCAAGGCTGACGTAAGGCCCAGTCAGCATGCAAAAGTCAGAACTTGGGTACACCCGTAGCCGAGTCACGTGATGAAAGGAGCAGCGCGCTTCTGTCAGTGCAGTGGATGCGCGTCAGGCCAGCCAGGAGCTGGAAAGCTTCCACATGTCCAATTCTTGCACCAAATCGCGTAAATCGCTCTAGAAGGTGAGCAAAGAGAAATAAAGGAAGATTTGTACGGATAATCCCACCAACTCACAAATTTAGTAATCATAACCTTAATCCATCCCACTATAAATTGAGGGTTCCTCTCTCAATTTGGGGATTAGCTAATCTCTTCTAAAACAGCATATACGCTCTCTCTCTCTCTCTCTCTCTCTTGTAATCATTTGTAGAAATCAGCTCGCGGAACGCGACCTGACCGCTATCATTAATACAACATCAGTGGACGTAGGACTTGCTTCCTTAAGCATCCGAACCACTTTAAACACTGTCTAGTCATTCCTTTTACTCTCATTCTTTCATCCACGTGTGTCTTCTGGGTCAACTCAACATTTCACACATGCATTTGGTTGGTGTCAAAATCATGCATCAACAGTTGTGTATTGTTCCAGTCGCCACAGTTTGTTGAGAGAATGATAGATCTAGAGGTGTTGATGTTACATGTACACCAAAAAATGTAGCAGCTGTGTTCCAAAATGTGAGCTTCACTCTGCAATTCATTGACACCATTTCAGTTGCTACTCCGGAGAAATCTGCTCCAGCTTGAACCACGAACTGGTCAAATTCAATGCTCTGCAATCAAAATAACCAATAACCATTTCACCAAATTAATTAACAAAGTAGTAATAGTAATTAATAAAGGACTTATATATTAATGTATAAATAATGAAATCTGACCTTCATTGTGACGGTAGGTTTTTGAGGTCGACTAAGCACCCCACAAGATCAAAGAAAACAAAGAAAAAGCACAAAGAATCCCACAACAAAAGTAAGAAAATAGAAGCGACGAGAAACACCACTGTGCATGTTTTCTCCATCAAGAAGTCCCTCTTCTTCAATGGCGTCAAACTCCTTCCATGGCTTGCGGGACTTCCGTCATTATTCTTGCGATGATGGTGGGGGTTTAGTGAGGCAGACAGGCGATGGGAGGACGACTCACGAGAAGAATGGGACCTAACGAAGAGTTGGAATGAGAGTGATGGTGAGCCCATGGGGCTGAGCACAGGCGTCAGTGGAAGGAGTTTGTCGTCTTTCCACCATCGTGAGAATCTCTTGACGCTCTGCACGTAGTAAACTGCTCGGCGTGGAGATCGTGTGGGCGAGGACTGAGTCAGGCTACTTACCTCCGAGTCAGTTTTTGAGAGCTGAGCAGACATTGTTGTTTGATGTAGTTTTGTTTAATTCAACAGAGAGATGGAGAATTAGTAGTGAGTGAGGTGAGAATTTATATTTAATATATTGTCAGTGGTTGTGGTTGTGTAAGTAAGATCTATACAATTTAAGGTACGTCCTGTTGGCGCACGTTATTTGAGCTTTGTTAATGTCATCGAAGTCTTGAAGGTGATAGTAATAAATGGGAGATGTGGATTTGTACGTAGACAGAGACTGGCAATTGTCTGGTTGTGGTTTTTGTATTTTTTATTCTACCAAGTGCCAATTTTCATTAATGCCTTCACTAAGCACAATGTGTAATTACTAATTAATTGTTTAGGTGTATAGGGTAATGAGTCTCTGTAGGCTTATTATATACAACAAAAACTGCGAGGTGAGATCAATATTTGCCTCCTTCTTTAACTTAATTTCTGATAAAGAGCATTATACGGGCTATTATATGAATGAATCAATAGTTGTCTCATCAAATCTCAACTACTAGGTTCAATTAATAGCAAATAAATCAAGACGCCGTCGGTTGGACAACTAATTAGAAGATTATGGGAAAGGCCTTCAAGTCAAGACAACAAGACAATCTTTCTTCCATATCTCACGGCAGGGCCCAACTGGCCAACTCCTCTTACGAGTTGAGCGCCTTAAAGAGCGCACAATGTGGTATCAATTTTACTGTCTTTTATTACCGATCGAAATTTGATACCCAACTTAACATTATAAGTTTGTATTATGGATTATGCGTATATTATTATAATTTTTTATTTTATAACCAAAATATCCCAGTTTATACTTACCAACACTTGGTAATGGCATTTGTAATTTATAGCAAAATCTGATCTCCTGGGAAACGCTAGAACTTAGTAAGTAGTAACATGATTGAGATTTGAGAGAGAAGCCCATACTCCCCTGATTGGATCTTTTGCAAGATCCTTCACATGTCAATGCATCATATATTTATAAAGAAAAAGGAAATTAATTTTAGATCCACTACATGTCTACATCCCTACTAGGTCAAAGATCCACCATAATGTTTGCATGGCTGGATGACTTTAATTGTACGAGAGTGGACCTGGCGTATGGGCTTTGCGGGTCTTAGGCCATAATAAGGCTTACCATTTTACCATCAGTTGTGATCCTCGTTTAGTCATTTTCATATCTCACCAAATTTTAATGATGAGAGCTACAATATCTGGAACTTGTAAACCACATCCTTTTTTTTTTTTTTTTTTTTTAATCGAATATCTTATCATGCAGGTGGGTTTGGATTTGCTGTCAAACAAATATCAATGTTAGA